CCTTCTAAGAGCATCAGGTTGGCCCCCCCCTGCCATATAAATATTAAATGGTTTTTTTTTAAAACCCTGTATAAGCAAGCGACAGTCTAAATTTCGGTGCAAATACTTCAGTCGTTCTTCAGATTTTTGCAAACATAGAAACAAACATCATCCCTTTATATAATAATAGGATAAAACGATCACGTCCTATTTATACTTTTAAAAACCTGCAGTCTATGGCAGTTACAACGCTGTCTAATAAATTAGACTGCGGATTTTTATACAAAACAAGCATTTTTAACGTCAGTGTATAAAATGAAATGTAAATAACAATTTTTTTTAAATACAGTAATATGCATCTGATATTTTGAGTCTAACGTCCTTGGACATTGAATGAACATTTTATATTCCCTATAAATGCATAAAATCCGCAGTCTACTAGTAATACTCCTAAACTTGTGCAATATTCAATCTAAATTCTAAACGATGAGAAAATGTTATACAACCACAAGAGCCTTCTTCTTGCTCCTCTTAATAAACGGCACCAGCGCCCAAAGCGCGGTACCTAATATAAGGATAATACCAAAAGTCAAGAAGATCGGCTTGTAAGATCCGACTGTTTCGTAAACGACACCGCAGATCGGTGGCCCGATCAGTTGGAGAACCCCGTTCACAAACAAGGAAATCCCGTAAGAGGAGCTGAGCTTCTCAGTGCCGAGCATGTCGGCAAGGATCACAGTCGTGATGCCTATGTACATCCCCGATGAGAGGCCGAAAAGCGCACAGAAGAAGGAGAGCATAGCGTAGCTCGTGGCCATCGGCAAAAGCGCCAGAGCGATCCCACTGGTGCCTAGACCACCGACGAAGTAGTAATATTTTGGCACGAAGTCGATGTCCGACAGAGAGGCGCCGCTGATGCGACCGACCAAGTCTAACGCAGAGACAACTGACAATAGTAACGCGGAGGAGTTCTTGTCGAAACCTTGAGTAATCGCGTACGACGGTAATAGGATCATGAAGTTAGTGTTGCTGATGGCTGAGGTAGAGTTCGAGATCAGAATCACGAGGTAAATTGGATCCTTGAGCACGCTGAAGTCGAAGAACAACAGCTTTTTGCTATTCTTCTTTTCTGTAGATTTCAATGGTAAGGTCAGCGACAAGGACTTGTTTGATTCTTTCCTACGTTTCTTGTTCCTGGTTAGAGATAAGCTCTCGGTTTTTGATTTGTTAGAGGCAAGACTTCCACGACGTGTGTATCTGTCGTAGATTACTGTGTCTTCCCATTTGTTTAATTTTGATTCTTTACACTCGGGATTCTCTTCAGGTCTTTCTTCTTTTTTATCTTCCACGGTATTCTCTTCTGGTTTTTCTTCCTTTTTAACATCTAAGGTATCCTCTTCTGGTTTTTCTTCTTTTTTATCCTCTACGGTGTTCTCCTCTGTTTGGGAAGTGTGACTGGCTGTGGCTTCGCAGGTCTCTTCCTTTTTTGATGCCTCGCAGCAGGAAGTCTCGTTCTCGATTGTAGACACTGTTTAAAATTCAGTTCATTACCATTTTATTTCGCTTGTAAGAAAGTAATTTAGATTCTTGAAAAGGGAAAATGCTTTAATTATAAAGGTAAGGCGATATTTTCTATGGCTAACAAATAATTTATTTACAAAAGTAATTGAAGGTGAATTTTAAAATATGTTTGGTGTATATTGGGTTTGCAGGAAATTTCNCTTAATTAAAGAACTTAGAGAATCGATTGTTAATGTGTCAATTAAAAGGAATTTTAATTCGTAAGTAATTCTTTCAATTCTTTTTCCTTAATTAAAAAATTCCAATTTCAATTGCCGATTGAGAATCAGAGAATCATTAATTGTTAATGCGTTAGTTAAAAACTTTGCAAACGTCATTTGCAGTTTCATTTATGTTTCCATAATGGTTTGATTAATTCATTTATTTTTAATTACCCGTTGACTTTTCCTTATCAGCCGGCTCGTCTATACTCAATCCTTCGTTGTCGATTCCCCCTTCTATCGGTACCCTGACCATGTGCTCCTCAACAGGGTGATACAAAAGTCCACAGACCAACGTGTTTAACGTCATCGCTCCCATAATTAATACCGCGCCTCTGAAACAATTAACAATACATTCTCATAATCACTATAAAAATTGAATGAAAGTTGCTTTATTACCTGTATCCAAAGCAGTCGAGCAGGTATTGAAGAAAGGGTGGCAGTACTATGGTCCCAATCGCACTGCCAGAAATGCACAGGCCGTTTGCGAGACCCCGTAGTCTCTTAAAGTACGAAGTGACGATATAAACCGTCGGTGGAAACGTCAAACCAGCTCCAATTCCAACCATCAATCCATAACTAGACATAAACATTTCGATTTTATTTATTTATTTTATTTAATAATTGAAAATTAAATTTTTTTTGTATACACGTAGACGCGAGAGTCTAGGACCGGGTACAGTTCAGTTTTTGCAGTTTTGGATCGTTTTGCGCATGGCTTCGTCTAGTTCTACTGCTCGTCACGAGAGGTCATGGTAAATGTGTCAATTCCCAATACTGAACTGTGTGGAGGGAGTTCGCTGCTGCCCCCACCACCTTCCAAGCTGCGCGAAACGGTCCTACACTCTCGGGAACGCGAGATTAAGAGCAAATAGCAATTTTTGTTGACGATTTCTACTCACTGGTTTATGTTTTTTTAATTTCGAGATAATATTTAGTATTATGGAGAACTACACCAGTGAGTAGAAATTAGAACATTTATTACAGTATTTAAATAGTAAATGAAAGAAGTATTAGTTCTCTATTTTCTTAGTATTTAGATTTAGGAGTATTTTATTTTATTTTAGTTATAATTACCTAACGTATAAATAGGAAACGGAGTTAGCGAAGTAACTGGACATCATTCCACCGGCTGCGAACGCACCACCGATGATGGTCACTGTTTTATAAGAATATTTCGTTGACAGCACACTCGACAGCGGACCTACAAGATACAGCATATTAAAGCATTGAATCTTAGCAATCGATGAAAGGGTTGAACACATGTCTGTTTAACTTATATTCATTTTCATAAGTTTTAGGATCTATTATCTAATTATTATAATCTTTTAGTGAAAACAATTTGCAATAATTATTGTTCTAGAATATTTAAGTATTAGAGTTTTTGATAAATATGTATATCATGGATTCTATGCGTTTATAAGGAAATTGCAGAAATTATAAACGCTGCTTATAATGCACAGAACTATTTAGGATATCAAAAACTGAATAAAAAGAAATGGATATTTCGATGTTTAAATGATGAAAGAAATGTTCACCAAAAACACATTTTTTTAATTGATATAAATATTTTATTTTGTCTGATAATTTGCATTCTATGATCATTTAATGAATAAAAATTTATTTAAGGCATTCGAAGCAGTTAAAAACTCGAACACATTAGTTTCGGTTCACGTTTCACTAATTCGTCGAGCAAGAATTTGCCTACAACAGCAAGGAAGACATTTTCAACATTTGTAATTTACTAGAATAAATCAATTATTGAAATTTACGGCTAATTATTAATTACAGTCGTGTACCTAACAAATTTTCAAACTCGAGTTTCTCAAAAATGACGCCCCATATGAAAAAACTATATTCCTTGTTTTCGACTAGATTTTATGTGAGAAATCATATCCTTGCCGGTTGTACCACGATTTCGCAAACACCCTGTATATTTATAATTTTTCCACATTCTGTTTTCTTATAAATGCCTAAAACTCGCTGGCTACTTACTAGAGTTCTTAATAAACGACAACGACATTCATTTGAAGTATACAGGACGTCCCAGAAAAAGAGTCACAACCGAAGAGGAGTCGTTTTGGAGGTGTTTTTGAATAACAGTTCCCTTGGCAAAATGCAAATTATGCCATAATTTTTGAATTATTAATGAAAAACACTGACCAATGAGAGCAGGTGTAGGGCTCACGCTCACCTATGGGATTATTGACTCCGATCATGGC